GTGACTGGACATGGCTTTAGACGTCCCCCTTATAAGTAAATAAAGTAAATAAAGTAAATAAAGTAAAGTAAATAAAGCAAGATAATGTACTCGTTAATGGCAATCCAGTGTTTTCTTCACCTAATATTACTGCAATAATTGACACAGGCTCTTCTGTTATGTTTGTACCTCCAAATGACACAGCGGCAATTCATGAGCAAATTCCAGGAGCCGTATTAAATAGTCAAAATAATCTCTACATTATCCCATGCAATACCACAGCAATAGTTTCCCTTAGATTTGGAGGTGTTGATTATGCAATTCCACCAGAGATTTAATTTTCTTACCAAGAACTGGTACTGATTGCATATCGGCTATTGTACCTCAGGAATTTTCTTCTACTCGTGATGTCTGGATTGTCGGTCAAACATTCCTTAAGAATGTATATTCTGTATATGATGTGGAAAACAGACGAGTTGGATTTGCACGTAGTAAATAATTTCCATCTTTCATTATAATTTATTATAATTGTTTATTAATACGTCATGGTATTATATTATCTTAATTACTGTATTAATATTTTACATAATGTTGATGCCATATATGTCACATAGATATATCACATAGATATGTCACATAGATATGTCACATAGATATAAACATAGATATAAACATAGATTTAAGTTTACACATTGATTTAAATCAGCTTTATAGATTTAGTTTATTATTTTATCATTAGAAATATTCATACTTTGTTGCTTTTTTATATCATACATTATCACTATTTTTTCAATTCCTCATTTTATTGTTTTTTTTCTTTGTTTACAATTACACGTGATGATTATGATTGTGCCCGAAGGCATTAGTTGTGCAAATTATTTATTCTAGATAATGACCTTAATGTAAAATAATGTAAAAAACTAAAAATTGCCAGTTCCACTTAATTAATTGGATATAAACGTTACCAATTATTGATTTTTGCTTAATAAAATAGAGCCCAACACATTAAATAGAATTATAAATCAAGTTGCTTAGTCTTATACATGTATTTAAATATTTTAAAGATTCCAGGCTAGTTTTTTATTTCTTACATCATAACCTCCGGACTCGTTTTAAACTTTTCACTATTTTTTTCAGAATATCATTTGTTGACCGTTTATTGTTAATACGTGTCATAGTCATATGGAGTTTAGCAATATGTACGTATGTACTTGGGTAACAACTTAACTAATTGATCCAAACTAGGGTTTAGGGCACGGGGGCATGGGGCATGCCCATATAGGCATGCCCATAGGGCATGCCCATGGGCATGCCCTGAGGTCAAAAGGCATGCCCCTATTTAAGCCTAACACAACCCTAACCCTAACCCTAATGTATATATGCTATATATTAAATAATCACTTTCATGTTGTACTTCTTTGAATTTTATTGGCTAATAACTCAAAATTGCATAATTCGCATAATTGCATAATTGCATAATTCACATAATTCGCATAATTCGCATAATTTACAATTTGCTGTACATAATTTTGAAATTATCAGTATATAACCCTGAATATTAATGCTCGTACGTACATACGTACATATATCAATCTGGCTGGACTTGAGTCAACTTGCAGCTTAAAATAGCCATAACTTGAATTAACTCTCGAATAATCTTGTAGCTTAAAAAAATATA